CTGTCTGGGTCCCTGACTGGGTGTCCCTTGGTCTCTGCTACTCTGCCCCTCCGTCTCCAACTTCCCTCTAGGACTGGGCTCGAACATGCCCTCCGCCCGCCTCAGCCTTCCCGAGTGCGCGGATGGCCTCCTGTCCCTTTCCCTCCGGATCTGCGACTCTTTGGTGTCTCTGTGACCCTGAGACTGGGTGTGTGGTCTGGGTTCCCCGGGAAGGGACTTTGGCCGCTTGCTGGGCAGCCCCGGTGGATGGTTAACCCGGGATGTGGGGAGCCGGTGCCCAGAGGCCTCCGCCCTTCCTCCTCGCTCCTCCAGACGTCGCCCTCAACCCCGGGAGGGGCACGGCCCGGCTTCCCATGTCACCTGCACTCCTTGTTCCCCGTGGGACCTTGGACAAGCCAGCCTCTGTCCTGAGACTCTGTTCCTCTGCAAACTGGGGCAGACGTCCACCCTGCCTGCGGGTGTCCAGCGCTCCCCCACAGGACCCCCACACGCCACTGTACGAAAAGGAAGCCCAGGGCCAGGAATTTAGCTCTGTGGTTCCGCTGCCTGTCTCACAAGTGGAGTTTGATCCCGATACACACACACACACACACACACACACACACATACACACTCACACACACACGAAGCCCACGCAAGCGGCAGGGCCTATGGTGGTGGTCCTCAGAGATGGGGTTGGAAGGACCCCAAGGTCCCCCACACCAGTCACCCTGGGCTGGGTGGTGCGGTGGCCGGGCAGGACCCAGGAAGGGCAGTGTCTGCCCAGTGGGGCCTTCCATGGGCTGGGTGCTGAAGGTTCCCAGGCTGAGGACGAATGGCGGACAAGAGGGTCTGAGAGAGGAAGGACCAAGTGGGGAGAAGCAGCTCAGAGAGCGGGGCGCTGAGGGTGCAGGAGGAGAAGCCTGAGGGGCCACCTTGGGGGTAGCCTGGGACCCAGCGCGGCGGGGAGGGGAGGGAAGGGAAGGAGTCGGGAGCGCCCCGCCCTGCAGCTGTCTGACTTCCCAGAATCTTCTGCAGCGCAGGAAAGTCCCGGCTCCCACGGGCGGCCTCCCTCCGGTGGCGGGAATGGAGGATGAGGAACCAGGACGGCCCCCAGGTCCCCGCTCCTCTCTGCATCCCAGGACTAGGGTCCCCTGGAACTCTGGAGGTCCCTCCGCGGCAGGGGCAGCCCCTGGATGAGTCCCAGAAACTTCCCAGAGAGAGGCCGGAAGCGCGGCCCCGCGCCTGCCACTTTCCCCAGGCCTCCCATTGTTCAGCGCCTCCGCCTCCTCCCGCTCCTCTGCTCCGACTCCTCCAGAGGGAGGCAGGGCCCGCATTTCACCTGCTGGGGTCTCCGGAGGTGTGGAGCCCGGCCCGACCGGAAGGCTGAGGGCCTGGAACAGCCCTCTTTGCTGTGGGAGCCTCCATCTCCCCTGCTAGAGAAGGGGGAGGAAAAAGGCTGCCTGGTCCTGCACTTTCTGCTTTGCTTCAGGCTGAGGGGGCTGCCAGTCCTGGGTCCTTGTTCCTCCCAGCAATGACTCAGGTTCCTCACTTGTAAAATGGATCAAATCAAGAAAACATGCTTTTTGCAGGATGCAAAGGAGGCTGAGGCAGGAGGATCGTAAATTCAAGTCCAGCCTGGGCAATTTAGCAAGAGCCTGTCTCAAAAAGAAAGGAAGAAAGAAAGAAAGAGCGAGCAAGAGGTGTAGCTCAATGTGAAGGCCCTGGCTTCAATCCCCAGTACAGGTGGTGGGTGTGGGGGACTGTCCTACAGGACCTAATATATAGAAAACATTCAGTACAACAGCATAGTTATTATTATTATTAGAATAACATTTATTAAAATGCTATTACTATTCTCATACATCAGCCTGTGATTGTAGTAGCAGGACCCATTTCATTGGGGAAAAGAGGATCCCATGTGCTGGGCTTAGGGACACACCATGCTCACTGGCCTGCTGCACTGTGTGCGAGCTGTGTGACCCCGGCAGGTGGCTTTCCCTCTCTGTGCCCTCACTAGGGCTTTACTAGTTGCAGATGTATCAGGTGCTGCCTCAGCAGATGGGGGAGCAGCTGAAGTGAGCCCAGGCATGAATGAATGAATGAATAAATCAATGAATGAATGAATGAGAGCTGCCCGTTCCTAGCTCCACCCCGTCTGCCTCATGCCTCAGCCCAGCCATCAGGCCGAGACCTCCCTGTCACCTTCTGAACCTGAGATGGGACAAAGTGGGCCCTTTCACTGGGACAGCTTTCCCTAGGAAGTGGCCCATTTAATCCCCTCAGCGCCTCCTGAGGAAAATTCCGCCAGGCATCCCCCTCTGACAGAGGAGGAAATGTATCGGAGAACAGAAGTCGCCACCCCAGGGGTCCTCAGGGGTCCTGAACCGGTCGGCGTGGTAGGCCAGGTCTCTGTGACCCAGGAGGGTGGGTTTTTGTGTTCGGGCTGCCCTTCCGGCTCCCGCTCTACATCACTGCTCCCTGGGAAGGAATAGTTTAGATGAGGAAAGTGAGGCACGAGGGGGCAGAGTCCTGTGTTCTGGGATCAGTCAGCTTAATCCACACTTTGGTGTCCGTAGCCTCCAGAGAATGTGGGGTTGGGCAGGCGGAGAGGCCCCCACTGCAGCAAGAGAGCCTAGAGTGAGACCGGGGTCCTTCACACAGAAGATGCACACCTATAATCCCAGCACCCAGAAGGCTGAGGCAGGGGGATCCCTGCAAGTTCAAGGCCAGCCAGAGCTACAAAGATACAAAGAGAGTCCCTGTCTCAAAAAAACGCCAAAACATGAGATAGAAATCAAGGCTTAATCATCCCCTTTCTCCCTCTTGCTGGGTCTGCACACAGGATGACAGAGTCAGAGGGTTTCAACATCTGGTCTTCAGGGCAGGCCTGGGACATGGACAACAGGGCCCCTCCCCCAGCTGCCCAGAGCCGGCCTGGTGACACTGAGATTGGGTCTGGGAAAGGGCAGTGGGTTGCTGGGCCTCAATGCCCTCACGTGTACAGGGAACACTACCTAACCGCTCAGGTTCAAGTCGCAGCTCTTCTGCTTATCAGCTGTGTGACCTCAGGCAAGTGACTCGCCCTCTCTGAGCTGCTGCTTCCTCACCTATAGGATGGAGGCACAAACAGTACAAGCTTCCCAGCGGCTGTGAGAGTCAGAGCTAAGCCGAGTGGCCCAGGCCCGGCACAGTGAGAGTTCTCAGTAAGTGGGAGATGCCATTTTACAACTGATTGTTATTAACACAGAATGTGGGAGCGGCCACTGAAATCTCCCTTCCAACAAAACAAAACACTTGTGGTCCAGCGGCTAGGCTGGTGGGCTGTGGGCAGCCTCCAGTGGTGCCCCTTTAAGGTCCCCTGAGCCCAGTGTGGTGGTGCACACACCTGTAACCTCAGAACTCTGGGAGGCTGAGACAGGAGGATGGCAAGTTTGAGCCCAGGCTGGGCAATGTAGTGAAACGCTGTGTCAAAGTAAAAAAATAAAGATGGGCTGGGGACTTGGCTCAGTGCAAAGGCCCTGGGTTCAATCTCCAGTTCCAAAAAAACAAAGCTGGGCCCCTGCTAAGAGCTGGGGACAGTGTCTTACAGCCTCTGTCACAGAGGGCCTGGCCATTTCTGCCCTCTGTGAGGCTCTGATGGGGCAGGCTGCCCATTGTCCCCCAGTCCCACCCCGTCTTTAGGGTGCTGCTCCAAATCAGTCTTTTCTCCCCTAATGCCGTCTAAACATCTGCTTGTTTGTTTGTTTTTTTTTTTTTTTGGTACCAGGGATTGAACTTGGGTCCTTGCGCTTGCAAGGCAGGCCACTGAACCACTGAGCTAAATCCCCGTCCCTGTTTGTTTGTTTTTGAAAGAGGGTCTCCCTACGTAGTTCAGGCTGACCTTGAACTCACAGAGATCTTCCTGGCTCAGCCTCCTGAGTGCTGGGACCTCCCCCAGGCGCCTGCTTTCTGGAGGATTCCATACCACGGGCTGTGGAAGTATGGGCTTGTCTCCTCCTCCTCATGTGATGGGTCTCGGCCTCAGTTTCTCTCCTGAGTCATGGCATAATGACACCGAGAGACTCACTGAGTCAGTGCCAAGCCCCTACCGCAAAGGAGGCCACCAGGCGTCACCTGGTCGTCACCATGAAAAATGGGCTCTGGGCCGCCCTCTGCTCCCCATTCCTGCACCATGGGTGAGGCCGCAGCTCTTCCTCCCCTTGGGCACCCCCAGGTCAGGCACGGAAAGCCCCTGAGGACCTGGCACGCTCGCTGGGGACACTCAGTAACCAGGCGGTGGCAGGTGAGCAGGGGCCTTCGGGGAGGGCGGGTAAGGCTGGGTGGCTCTGGGCTGGGCTGAGCAGGAGGCACAGGTGGGGCTCCGTGGTGCTACCCAGAGTCCTCTGCTGTGGGCCACACCAGGAAGGTGCTGGGACACCCCAGCCCCCCTCCCCCTGGGACGGTGGGAGAGAGAGGGCCCTGCCTCTCTCATCAGACTGCAAGAGGAGCAGGGGCAAGGAGAGGGGAGGAGGAAGAAGAGCTCGGCCTCGGGCTTGGGGGCCCTGGAGCTCCCTCGGGTCTGAGCAGCTCTCCCTGCTCCTTCCACAGCCTTCTCCGATCGGGACCTCACACTGCGCTATGTTCCCAGCCCGTTATCACTATTTTTATTTTTTCCCCATTATTATTGTTCATCTTCACACAGGGTCTCGCAAAGTCACCCGGGCTGGCCTCGAACTTGCTGTCTCCCAGACGGTGGCTGTGCTCACTGCTGACCCCGATCCCCTTTGGAAGCCCCGCTCCGCAGAGGTTGGGATGCCACCCTGGAGCCTCCCCCTTTTCCCTGGAAGTCTCCTCGGTGCCTCCCCTGCCCCAGCCTCCACCGGCCCTGACCTCAGAACAGACACAAAAGTCCCCGGGGAAGCCGGGGTCACACAAGTCCTTCCTCTTTCGAGCCCGGGTGCCAACTCACCGCCCTCTCCCTAACCGCTGTCCCAGGAGGGGCCACCCCTGCTCTGTACCCGTTCCCATGACCCCGAGGACCAGCCCAAGTGTCCTGACAGCCTTGTCCCCTGGTGTCCCGGCAGGGTCCAGCGGGGACGGTGGTGATGCCCTCGTGCCCTCTGGGAATGGGAGCCACCAGCCTCGCCTTGCCCCCCTCTGCAGGAGGTCAGGGGTCGGCAGTGCCCTCTGCTGCACTTAAGCCCCCTGTGGTCACACAGTCGCAGCGGTTTGCTCACTTCTGGGAAAACCAGGTCGGATTCTGGGTTTCAGGTCCCGAATTCTCTTCCCATGGGGCCCTGCTGTCCCTGGCCTCCACGCGGGATGGAGACACCGGCCCCAAGGTGCCTGGTGCCAGGGATAGAGAAAGTAGAAACCCCAGGATTAAAAACAAATCTTTTGGGGCTGGAGGCTGAATTTTTTTTTTTTTTTGTATGGGGGATTGAATTCAGTTCCTTGTGCTTTCAAGGCAGGCAGTGGAACCGCTGAGCTACATCCCTGGCTGGAGGCTGAGCTCAGTGGAAGCCCTGATTCCATCCCCAGCCCTCAAAAAGGACAAACAAAAACCTTTTAAAATGATGAAATATAACTCAGAGAAGTGTTTCAAATTAAAACCTAATGTTCCATGTCACACCCCCCACACACACTGGAAACTGAACCCAGGGCCTTTGCACTGAGCTACATCCCCAGGCCCCCTTTTTTGTCTTTTTTTCTTTTTTTTGACAGAAGGTCTTGCAGTGTAGTTCACGCTGGCCTGGAACTCACAGCGATCCTCCTGCCTCAGCCTCGTGAGTGCTGGGATTACAGGCGTGCGCCACCAGACCCCAGGCCAGCCCTTTTTTATTTTAGATAAAGTCTTGTTAAATTGCCCAGTCTGAGCTCGAATTTGCAAGTCTCCTGCTTCAGCCTCTCCAGGAGCTGGGATGCCAGTCTTACTCCACCACACTGGGCTGCAACTGACGACATGAAGGAGATGGAGATCTTAGAAGAGGGCCAGGAGTAGCTCAGGGGTAGAGCGTTGCCTGCTTTCCAGCCCCTTGTTCCAACCCCAGCGCCCAAAACCGAAACACAAAGCCAGAAATTCCAGAAGGAAGGAGCGCTCAAAGCACATCCTGGGCAGCTTCGGACTCCCTCCCTTGAACTCACGAAACTCCGAAGCTGCAGCCCAGGCCACCCAGCTGGGCCCGGGAACTCAGAGCAGGAACCAGGCCCAGCGCCTTGCCTACCCGCACCCCTTGTGGGAGACTCGCGCCCCCGATTCCCGTGGACCCCCACCCCGCCTCCCGCGCATACGTGCACGGATCCCGGATCCCACAGAAAGGGGAGAAAGCCCGGGGCCTCCCCCCTCTTCTCCGCCGCGCCCTGCCTGTCTCTTCTCCTAGGCCTCCCCTGCCTCCCACCCAGGCTC